GGGGGGAGGAATAAAGCAGGAAACGAAAGGTTAATGAATACGAGTTAATTATCTTATGTTAAATTTTGAATGATATACGATGAAAATTAATTAATTAATTGATTATTGATAAACTAACGTAACATTACGTTTTATCAATTGACAATCGTAATAGAAAGATTTCCCATTGATCGATATTTTGTTACATATATATATATATGTGTATGTGATTTTATTTTGTTATTTTTGTTTTTTCTACTTTCCTTTTGTCAGGAACATTTGATCTCAATGTTTTGTTTGAAAATAAAGAACGCGAAATAGAAAATGATTGAGAGAAAATAAATGAAAAAAAGAGATTTTTAAGAATGGGAAGAGGGAAGAAACGATAAAAGTTAAATTTCTTTCTATATCCGCATATATGCCCCGGGGGAGAGAATCAGATCAGAATAAAATTGCACGAACGAACCCTTCTTGAAATACAAGAGGAGTACCGTTTCTAAAAGTGAAAGACGAAAAACACTCGTGTTCACTACTATAATGTGCTTCCTTTTATGATACGTTGCGTTGGCCCTCACCGAAGGGCAAGCCCTGCGATGGTATAATGGTTCGCTTTTTCTTCAGGTACGGCTAGACGTTTGAGAGGGCGATGAGGAGGATGATCCTTTTATATATACATACTTTCTATATATATATATATATATATATACACACATACACACATATATATATATATATTTTTATATACGTATACATTCGTATAAAAAAAAGACGAGAGAAAAAGATTCGAAAAGAATTAAAAAAAAAAGCATGGGCCAGGCATATCAGTCGCTTCGATTTCCTAATACCCAAAGCATTTAACCTTTTCGCGTGAGAAGAAAGCTTTGCTACCTCCTACCGATGATCTTTTCTCTTTCGAAAATTCTCAAGAGACTCTAACTCGGGGAAAAAAAGGGAGACGAGTCATTCAATCTTCATTCTTTACGTCGTTTTATATTATATAGATATACCTGTATATCGAACGATTTACAAGTTCATTGATCTTATTCATTTCTATGAAATATAAAAAGAAATGTTTTAAGTTACTTGAATTACAATTTTATTTTTTCTATTTATATTTATATATATTATATATATATATATACTAATTTAATTGTAAAATATATAAAAATAATATCAAAAGAATAGATCGTTCATTTTAAGAGAGTACATATATGATAATATGATTATAAAGGAGTTGTGTATAATAATAATAATAATAATAACAAAAGAAATTTTATAAAATTAAAAATAAATACTAGGATGTACTCCCCAGAAGTTTGTGCGTTTTATTGCGTTGAAATTTTACTTTGAAACTGCACAATGGAATGTTTTTTTTGTAAAATTTAGTTTGGAAATATTAATAAAAAAAAAAAACGCACAAACTTTTGATTCACCCTCTAATATAAAATATTCCAAATAAATAGCATATCACACATATACAGAATGCAAGAAAATATTTAAGTATCCTCTTTGAGTTATAATATTCAGTATATGAGAGTTATCCACATCGTTAATAATTTCAAAAAGAAATGTTATCACAATATTAGACGAAATATTTACCACTAATTACACTCCTCGATTAATCGATTAGCATATGCCTCATTATCTCTGTATTAGATGCGTACAGAATACTTGGAATCAACGTATCGTAATTCTTGTATTGAATGAGGGTTTAGGACCCTATCCACCAGCATATTATACATATACATACGTAAGTAGTGTATATACGTGAGGGAGGATAGTAAAAGGGGGTTGTGTTTCTTCTATGTTACCCACGATATACGGTAGTGTGTCGGTTTAATACGTGGACGACATTTTAATAAGAGTTCGTAATGCATATAATTCTGCAAGCACGACGGGTATGCATTTGTCTGTGTTGAAATTTTACACGCACGCGAGCAGAGAATAGACGGATACACAGTACGCTGCTTCAAAATGATTCTCTTCTATTTCTACATATATATGTATATATATATATATATATATATACATGTAGGTATCTGTGGGTGCTGTGTGTATATGTATCTGTGTCTCAAATACAGAAGCTACATTTACGCCTCGATATTACATTCCTTTCCTTTGACGTAGAGTAATATCATTATCTGAATGCTGGCACACGATAGGAAACGTGGAAATCATTTTCACGTAGAAGGAGAAATGGAAGAGAAATACACAGTGGATGGTGGAATTTTCTTCACTTTGGAATTTAACGGTTAATCCGACAAACTTCGGTGCCCGAGTCAATGCGAATTTATCGATGTGTCATAAATCGATTGATATCGTCCATTATTGATAGTAAATATATTCAATACTAATGTACTATTATTCATTTTGTCGGATATAATATTTTTCTTTAATTTAAATATCCAAAGTTAAAAAGTCTGAATTAGAATAATAATAATAATAATAATAATAATTGATACATTCTCATTTCTTTCGGAAAGTTTTGAGAGAGAGAGAAAATATTACGATAGTATTATTAATTAAAACAAATTATGCTATGACCTATTGAATGATCATTGTAAACCAGAAATTTTATTATTTAATCGTACTATTTATGCGTACACATTGAACGTAACTTAAATGATATTCATAAATGAAATAAAAGTAACACTATTTCCTCCGGGTGGGGGGGGGAGGTATAGAGGGAGGAAAGAAAAATACTCAAATAAAAGTTTGCCAATATCGATAGGGGTAGGTTTAATCGTTATCGTGACCGTGATATCAGGCATCAATTTGAGAATCGACCATTATCCGTGTATTAATAAATCGAGAGCTGAATTGTATGGCAACCACAACAACATAACCACGTCAAGGATTATCAAGGGTTGGTTTATTAGAAATAATTGCTGTATAGACTAGCAAAGTCGAGGCGCCTCATGAACTCACCGACAATGTAAATGAGAAAGCTAAAGAGAGAGAGAGAGAGAGAGAGAGAGAGAGAGAGAGAGAGAGAGAAAAGGATATAACCATTGCGAATAACGCTATAATATCGAACTTGTTCTGGCCACTTGTGCACGTGCACGGCCATCGAGTTTATATAAATGGGTAATGCCTGAAAGACTCGGCTTTCTCTGTGTTAGGTGGTGGAAACGTAACTCGGCTGACCGCTCGTTAAAAAGTTTAACCGTTCGTTTATTAGTACGAGAAGTGCGTTCCTGGGGGTGGAATGAAATGTAGCTAGAGTCTAAGCCAGCTTTTTCTCTTTTTCTCTTTTCTCTTTCCTCTTTCTCTCTAACTTACCCTCTAACCTCTTCTCTTCGTTGCCCCAACCACGAGTACTTTTCCACGTTTTACCTACGAGCGATAGCATAACATTTCTTTACTATATTTTATATCTACTATATATATATATATATATATATATATATATATATATATATATATATGTGTGTGTGTGTGTGTTTATATGAAATTGAACCTGTAATTAGTCAACTTTTTTATATTTATTTTAAACAAGTATTTTTTTGTACATATTTTATATATATATGATATAATCAAATAATTTGATTGATTTTAAATAAAAGTTTTAATTTTAATATAATAAATTTTTTCTTGTCCAAAATTTTTTAATATTATTAAGTTCAATCTTAGGGATTTCTCTTTTTTGGACAGGTTTTAATTAGATGAACAATCTATTAATCAGTTGAACGTTTCGTCCCTATATTTGGGACTTCCTCAGCAACTAAAATTTATTATGACATATTACTACTTATACAAATACAAAAAACTTAATAAAAGTTTTAATGTTTATTAATTAGAAAAATAATTATAAGTGAGAAAAGATTGACATCGTGTCTCGATAGCAATATTTTTATATTATTTAAAATGATCATTGAAATATATATGTTTCATTCGATTAATCGTAATTTATAACAAAATAACTTTTTGAATTTCTTATTATAAATATAATGATAAAGGATGGTTTTGAATGGTAGAGAGTAACGAAGCTGCTAAGCATTTGGTCTTTTGTCTCCGTTCGAATGGACAAAAGGGTGGAACTAAGCGTGGGGTTAATTTATAGTCGGGGATAGATATGAATGGTATATAGGGTGATCAACTTTTTTTTTTCAAAACGTGAATACTAACTTTACTATTTCTACACACTATTTCTTTTTCTTTTTTTTTCTATATGATATCATAAATTAATATTAATATAATTATAATATTGTTACGATTTATTATTAACAATAGCGAATTATATACGTGTATAGTTCATTTCAAGATAATTATTTAAAATAAAAGCTGAATTATTTCGATTCTATTTTATTTCATTCTTTTCCCACTAATCATTATACTAATCGTCAGATATTAGTAGCCGAGAATAAGCATTATACGATTATCGTATTGAGCAGTCGCTCGATGAGTTTCCTACGAGTGCCGTTGCGTCTAACTTTCAAGTGCTGTTATAGAAACGGAATGTGGTATAGCTTCTTAACTAAAGTGTCCTCCCCTTGCTTAGGATGTACCTTCGAGTGGGTAATGCTTAGAATAACGGGCTCTTTGAAAGCACACCGAGAAAGATAAGGACGGAGAAACGAAAGGGATAGAAACCGCGTTCCGAGAGAGAAAGTTACTGTTTAGATGAGATACTTTATCACAAATAATATCTTTCATACCCCTTTTTATCCAAATTCTAACGAAGGCATAGGTATGTGTCTGATAATTATAATATAGTTGACTAATTGTTAGTCCGAAAAATTTTAACACAAATTTATTTTACGCGATTTAAATTTGACAATACAAATTATTTATATTTATTTTTATCGAATAAATGATAAAAACATTTATTTTTAAATTTAAATCCTAACTTATTGTTAATCGTAATTATCACTTATGTGTGATAATTTTTTTATTATTTAATATATTATGATATTATATGACGATCATTTTTATTTTCATTTGTATTAGAACGAAGAGAAATTAATTAATTAATTAATAAAAGAAAATTGTATTAATAATGAATGTTTTTTTTTTTTTAGGTTCAAAGAGAACGAGACTTTCCGATCATGCTAAAGGAACGATATTAGCTGGGGATGATACGGGAAACGAAGACGATCGCGAATCAGATTCAGGTGGTGAGCTACGTGCCAATCATCCACTCGGTAAGTGGTTTCATCTTATTTAAGATTTATTTTATTTTTATTACTATATATTATCGATAAATGAGAAGATATCGTAAATAAGTACAATTTCATCGATTTATCACACGATAAAAATATACCTTATTTGTTTTCACCAATTATATATTCATTTTAAACAAGTATGTATTATTTATAAACAACGTATAATACATTTTGTACGATTGCTTTAATAACTTCGCTCGTAATTATTATTTTTTTAATTAAAGTAATAAAATATTTAGCAAACTGGGTCATACAAGAGGAATGCAATTAAATGAGCTTCCTGCGATATATTTAATCTTTTTACAGTTTAAATGACGTTAGTAAGTCAGAAGAACGCAATAAATTCAAAACACAACGTTTAATAACGTAATACAATATATATTATACATGAGGACTTATCGTAACTATAATAAACATTTAACTAACTTCTTTTCATACAAAATGAAAATTCAATTGAATTAAACTCTGTAATATAATCCCCTATAATATTAAGGATTAATATTATAAGGAATAATATAAATATTAATCCTGATATATTAATATTATATCATAATATAAATTCAATCAACGTAATTACAATGAAATGAAATTTAGTAAAATTACTTATCTTACAATTATTAGAGAAATTAAATACGATAAAGAGTATATTGTAATAAAAATCCGTAACATCGATAAAGAAAAAGTTCGAGAAAAAGAATAGAAAGGAAAAAATTGCAGTACGCGCAAGCGCATTATCTTCGAGCCAAGCCCCTTGATTCCGCAAACATGACGAATAGATGCGCGAACGCCGTTAAAATTTGAGTGTGAAAAGTTTGACGTGGGCAGCTAGGCAAGGTAATTTTTCCCTCTAACGTGTCTCTCTCTCTCTCTCACCCCTAACCTTTCCACACAATTCTACCAACACACACGAATACCATTTTAAAGAGAGACTCACTCGTGTACACATTCGCCGTTCACGTAAAACACATATTCACACACACGCACACACACACATACACTCGTGATTCTCTGCCATTCTCGCGGCTTCGACGAAGCCGCATGATTGGCGGTTACGCGAGTTTGCGCCAATCTCGTCTACCGACCTCCTCCAATAGCAAATTCCCTTGATACTGTAGCAATCCTCTCTCTCGGAAGCTCTAACAAGTGGAGGAAATTCCGTTTCGAGCTACTCCTCTTCCTTCGAGTTCCCACCTTCCGAGGTAAACCCCGGCACTCCCATAACCTCTCCCTATTCGTCTTTTCAAGATCGTTCTACCCCCTTGTCGTTCTTAAGAAAAGAACCCCGGTGGGTACAAAAGGGTTTTAGACTGGTCGTGTCGCGGTCCTATCCTTGTTCCAGGTATATATTATGGTAGAGTACATCTTCGAAATAGTTCTCGCGTTACATTCAACCGATACGGTTTTATTACTTCTCTTCTTTATTTTCCCCCTCCTCCACCTTTTGTTTTTTTTATTTATTTATTTTTAAATATAATTTTTTTAATATCTTACGATCATTTAAAAAAGTTTATTACTTTTATTATTCGTATAAAGTGAAAGTATTTTTAATATAGAAATTACGAGGGGGTAATTTTTATTAATACTCTTCTACGATTTTTTAATTATCTTTGCGATAATGTATATAATCATATAAATAATTTTATTTATTATATATTTGATTATTTGTGTAATAAGTTTGTCTATGTCTGATTAAAATCACATTATTTTGTATAATATAATATGTATTTTTTTTGTTCGTTCATAATTATTATTCGTATATTCTAATATTTAATTAAATTTACTTTTGTTTTGTATTATAGTTGTTTCCAGTCCCGTCGACAGTCAAGACGCCGAAGTAGCAAGAATGCGTACAAACAGCCTAAACGATTCCGAAGAAGGAAGCCCGGAGCCGGGTTCATCGAGTCCCACGCATACACCACCCCTAACGCCTGCACTTACACCACAAAGAGAAAGTACACCAGCACCGGAGAACCTAAGCTTGCGTAAAAGCGGAAGTCCACCACAGACACAGCAAACTCCGCAAGCGGTCGATCTCGTACAACCCAGACCAAGTCCGCCATTAGCATCCTTGGCAGTGAGTTCAATCAATTATTTTAATGTTATTATGTCAACAATTATGAAAATTATTCATTTAACGTCATCGATCAATTAATTACTAATTACATTTTTTTTTTATATAACATCTTATTCACAAATTAATCGTTTTAATTTACGAATTATATATTCGAAGTTGCACATGAAATGAAACATTATTCTATTGTTCGTCAATAATATTCATTTATAAATACCATTTATAAGCAACATTATGAACAAAGTATAAAGAATGATATAAAAATAGATTTTCAAGAACAATGTTTTTAATTATAAACAATCATGAATTAATTTGTTTATATTCGAATAAAATATAAACGATGTTCTCGTTAAATAATAATTGAAATAACTTTAATTCGTTTATCCCTTTTATCTCTCTTGAATTTATTCAATAAAATTTGTTAGGAAAATCCTTATTCTATGTTTCAGGCAGCAGCAACGTCGGTACATTTTCCTACATATGCACCACTTTACGGACCAGCGGTTAGTTCACTTTATTGTTCCCCGACAATCTATCAACATCAACATCATCCGAATGTACACGAGCCACGAGAAATACAAATGCAAATGCAAATGCAGAATATTCAACAACCATGTGGTATACAAGTTCAACAGCAACAACCACAACAGCAACAGCAACAACAACAACAGCAACAACAACAACAGCAGCAGCAACAACAAAGGTCTCCGGTCGACGTTTTACTTCGCGTATTTCCTGGAAGACGTCGAGCCGACGTAGAAGCCCTTCTACATCGATATAAGGGTGAGTTTTGTTATTCGAGAATAACATTACATATTTTCTCACGGAGTGTTTTAGATATTAATATATAATTATTAATCATCTATCAATTAAACAAAATCAATATATTTGTAAAATTTCTATCTAACATAAGTAGTTAAAAAAAAAACTGATGAAAAGTGGACAAATATATTTGTCTAATTAAACGCGAAAAAACAAAAAAAGAAGAAAAAAAACCCTATGAAATAAAATTGTATACCACTAGGTGACGTGGTATCAGCGATGGAAGTACTCGTATGCGAGGACAGTCTTCAACCAAAATCAGCGTTCTCACCATTGGCGGGTGCTTTGGCTTCAGCAGCAGCTGCTTCGGCATCAGTTTCAGCAGGTTACACGACACGCAGTGCTTATTGTACAACACCGATCCCATCAACGAGACATAGATTTCTCGCAGCACCTTACGCTGGTACCGGTTACCTACCAACCGTGATAAAACCACCTAATCAAAGTATTCACGCAAATGGTACTGGTGATGCCTATCGAGAAACCTCACCGGATGACGCCAGTGATAAAACCAGTTATTCCGAGTGACCTGAACAAGATAGGACCACTGTTTGGTCGTATTTGCAGTAGTCGAAGATATATTTCGACCGCCATTTTTTCATTATTTTTTTTTCCGAGAAGAACGAACTACATCTATAGGCTATTCTAATAAAAATCAAAGAAAAAAAGGAGAGCCGTTATTTGAAAAAAAAAAAGAAAGAATAAATTATCATCGTTCTCTCCGATCAAACTTTTCTTCCGGTTCGGACTCGATACCAATATGGCGGTTGTATAGAAGAAATCACGTCCTACCCCCCCCCCACCATCGAATTTGTATTTTTTTATATATATATATATATATATAGAGTTCTTTTCGCAAATTTTTTAGTAAAATATTAATCGCGTTGTTATTATATCGATATTTTTATTTTCATAATAATAATCAGATTACGAAACAATGGAACTTGCTATTGAATTTTTTTGATTTACGTTTAACGGCACTCTGAAAAATAATAAGTTACTCTCGTGTTAGATTAGGAAACAAAGATTTGAAGAGACACGCGTGGTTTGACGTGAATAAAGACTAGAAGAAAAGAAGGGGTGACCACCCTTTCGTACTTGTCCGCGACACTGAACCTAATGCGCGCGAACGAAATCGACTGGTCTGCTTACGGGCGAGCTGATTTTAAATCGTACGGAGTAGATCTCTATTCAACATCAAAGGGATTAGAATTTGCGCGTAGGAAAAGCTGGTTTTATCCTTACCAATGTCAGAAACAGTTTCGTACTAGTTTTAATTTTCGATAAGGATAGATCTACGCACGATTAACAACGTGTAACTATAATAAGTTTCTTTCTTTTTTTTTTTTGTGACAAAGAATCTAATCCGAGCAATCTTATTTTTTGTTGGAGAGAATTATCATTATTATTATTATTATTATTATTATTATTATTATTATTATTATTACAGAGAAATGTATTATTATTATTAAAGATTTTTATGTTTTTATTTTTATTATTTTTTTTTTTTTTTCACAAATGGCTACGAAATAAACGAGAAAAAGACTTTTATACGATCCTATTTCTTATCGCTTTAAGAAAAAAAAGAGAAAAAGAAAAAGGGAAAAATAACAAAACTGCATATAACTCCCTAATTATAAATAATAATTTTTGTTATATAAAAATGTTAAAGAAATTTTCTTAAATTTCTCCCCCAGCATAATTATGATTAATTTTCGTTAATATATATATATATTATAACAATGAATGAATTACCATCGAATGAAGCCCCCCTCCCCCCCCCCATACGATTACGTCTGGATGTGCACATGACAATCCGCCCGAGTAAAGCGATAAATATTATAACTTCCTGTCAACCCAAATTGTCCGCAAAACTCGCTGTCATTTCTACGAGAAACGAACGAACGAATAAACGAACGAACGAACGATTCGTTTTCGTACTTATTCATGAATAAATTAAATAAAAATACAAATGTTGACGATAATAAAATAGCGCGATGCTTTATGCGAAATTTTATTCCGATAATAATAATAAATGATCGATCTCGTCGATGGAAAATCATTTTGATCACGAAGATATACGATCAAGAGAAAGAGAGAAAGAGAGGGAGAGAGAGAGAGAGAGAAAGAAAAGGAAAGAAAAATAGTATACTATAATTATACATATAGATTCGGTTCGTTATAAAGATTATTATACTTTATACATGTATAAAGAGAATGCGAACTACGTTATTCGAAGTACGCATATTCGTAATATTAAAGTTTAATAAGTACGTATGTTGGATATAATATAAAAATAGGCCCAGAAATAATGAATTGTAAATATAATACTATGCGTGTGCGTGTGTGTGTGTGTGTGTATTGCCGATTGATTTATGTTACGAGGACGACCTTGAGATTGATTTCTTTTTTCGCGATTTGTCGCATTTGTAGTACGACGTTCTCTCTACATGTTCGAACAGTATAATTGTTACGCGCGTGCCCGTATGTTTGCGTGTGTATGTATAATATGTATGCATTTGAAAAAAAATTACAGAGAGAAAGAGAAAGAATGATTGAGCGAGTGAGAGAGAGAGAGAGAAAGAGTACGTGCGAGCACTCGAACGAGGAGAATGTTATATGTATTATCATTATTTCATTTATTTCCGTACCCTAATCCTTAGAATTTTGACCGAGATCTCGTAATAACGAGGTACAAGGTTTTGCGTGTAGCCTATCGATTAAACGCCCTTACTATTCGATAAAATTGCTAAGAATGAAAAGATAAGAGAAAGATAGAAAGAGAAAGAGAGAGATAGAGAGAAGAATTGGATAGTAGAAAGAAAAGCGTCAAAATGTGTTTAATCGAAAAATAATATTCTTGAAAAAAAAGGTGGATAAAAATGCAGTAAAGTAATCCTCCCCCTTTTCCGCCTCTCGAAAAAAAAAGAAAGAAAAAAAAAAGAGAAAAAAAAATAAATTAAAATAAAATATGAAAAGTTTGACGACCATGTACAACACTCGTTATACATACCATAAATACATGTTTTACGAAAGAGACGCGCGGCGCGGCGCCATCATAATTATGTATCTGCAATATACTTAGATTATACTTCTCCGTCTATACGGCCTCGAGAACGCACGTCGTACTTTGTAGTTACCAATAAATATGTTACGAAAAATTAAAAGAAGAAAAAAGATTAAAGAAAAAGCAGCAGCAGCAGCAGCCAGCCAGCCAATCAGCCAGCCAGCCAGCAGCAACAATAACAGAAAGAAAAAATGTATAGATCGGACGTAAAAAGTGAATAAACATATTGATACTCAATGATGAATTAATTACGTTAACACTTATACTATTCTTTATAAATAATTTAATCTTTTTTTCACTCAATTTTTTCTAATCTTCTATAGATAAGAAAAAAGAAAAAGGTAAGTACGTACGTTATTCTTATTTGTCAGTTTTTGTAGGTATTTCTTTTTTTTTCTTGATCTCCTTATATCTCTCATTTCTTATTCTTCTTTATTGATATTTTTTATTTATTTATTTATAGCTTCATATATTTCTTTCGTTAACACACACAAAACCCTTTATATAATCTCTTTATAATTATTATTTCATAATTCTCTTATTTAATATTTTGTCTTATCAAAGTAAGTATATATATATACATACAAATTAAAAATAATTCGTCTGTGTATACCTCTTAAAAAAGAATTCTTAAATTCGCTTACTTTCAAATACAATAATCTCCCTTTTTTTTCTTCGTAAGCTTTACTTGTATTTGTTCAAAGGGTAACACAGAGTGGCATGAAAAGAATATTCGCGTAATTCGAACGACTTTCGTGCGTGCCTCTGAAACATAGAATGAAAGAAAGAAAGAAAGAAATACAGAGAAAGAGAGAGAGAGAGAGAGAGAGAGAGAGAAAGAGAGAGAAAGTGAATGTATGAGTGAGAGTGAGAAAAAGATAGAAAGAAAAATTAGCCGATAAGGAACAGCAAGAGTGAACGTGACTTTTTGAACGACCCTCGTGTAAGCAAACGGCGACGAATTACGCGCGAGTTTCCGTGAATAGTTTTATGCTGTGTAGAAAACCGCTTTTAATATGACAAAAGAATAGTGAGTGAGCGGTGAGTGAGAGAGAGAGAGAGAGAGAGAGAGAGAGAGAGAGAGAGAGAGAACGAGAGGGTGAAGTAGGAAGAAAGGGAACGAAAATTAATATATAATGTAGCGTTGAAGTAGTATATGCGGTATCATAATTTCTTTTTCCACCATGCAACCGGGAACAGAATAAGGGTGGGTTCCAGTTGCTACGCCACCACTTTTTATTTTTCCTTCTCCTTTATTTTCTCTTTCTCTCTGTTTCTCTCTTTCTCTCTCTCTCTTTAACTCCCTTTTCCCACTCTGGATCTTTCTCAACGCTGAACGCGAGAGTAAAACGGGTATAGTCTCGCCTTAGAGGAATATAATCGACTGAACCTATTAGCGACACACGTTCCAACATTATCACACCGTTTCTATATATATATATATATATATATATAAAAATGCATATATATATATAGCCAAGTATTATCATCGAGAACGAAAGGCGTTCGAATGCATCTGCCAGATATTGCTTTTGGCCTTAACGTTAAAAGATTTCCATGCAAATCGTGTTGAGAGCAACGCCTACGTGCCTTCTTTCATCATCTTTAACAACAGAAGCCCAAAACTACTTCTTTTTTTCCCGTACACTTTTCTCCCCAATATAATAACATATTTCTTTTCTTTCGTTCATATCATCACATTTTTACCAGTCTTCTATATAATATTTTGACGATTAAAATACGTTATATTATATTGATGATATTATTGTATTACAAAACTCTCACGATATAAAATTGATTCAATTAATTATTATAGATTTTGTAATTTCGATCGTTATTAAATAATACATTATAATGAAGATTAATAATATAATATCGCGATCTTTTATATCGATATATTATATTTATATCGATTGGTTTTTATTTCTAATAAAGTAAAATGATTCTCTTTCTTTCCCTCAACCCTCCCCCCGCTACTCTCCGATTTACAATTAGATTTATTTCTTTTATTATTTTCTTTCGCTTACTTTTTCTCATATATTAATTTGACTTTTTCATTGTCGATTGGAACGCTAGTGGAAAATAGGAAGAAAGGGTGAACCACTTCTTGGTCTTACCTTTTTTCCCACTCCCCTCCCAATAAGAATGAGAAAGAAAAAGAGAGGAAATAGTATGAGAGAATAGTTCATCATTGATTTATATAATCTGTACGATTCATTAACGACAAATTCTGTATATCCCGGACCAATTCCACGATGGCGCAATCAAGGTGGCATCAAGAAAGGCATTTCTCGCCCTCGACTCAAACTACCAACAAGTATTTCAATATCCGTTCCAATATATTCCTATCGACCCTATAAACGTATGTGCGGTTATATTGGATTTTCCATCTGCCTCTTGCGCTAACCTTTTCCCTCCCCCCCTCCCAACTCTTTTCTCTCTTTCTCTCTCACTCTCTGTCTGTCTGTCTGTCTCTCTCTCTTTCTTTCTTTCTTTCTCTTGTTGATGTAGTGAATTGGTACGTGCCGACACAACCGTGTCCTTCGGTGTATATCGATGTACAATTTTCAAATGTCTACGTTTTATCCATTTTATAATACATTAAAAGATTTATACTTTCTTAGATAACGGACAAAAAAGAAACGTGCTTTTTTTCTCAAGTTCAATTAATTATTTAATTAAATATGATAATACTTTCTTCATCCTTCTTATTATTATCCT